GCCTTGTTTTTGCTTAGAAAATATGCAAAAAAGACTAAAGGGTCCACCCCTTTGGAATGGGGGTCGTTAGGCTTCTTTGTTAACCTGTAATGCCTCTGAAAGGGGGGTTGTTAAAGGGAATTGTTGGCCTGGCTGAATAGGGGAGGTCATCTGTTCCCCTATATGGTGTTGGGGTTGAGAAGATAGCAGGAAGGAATCAACTCTGTCGCTGCATTGTAGGTTTTTGAAAGCTGAAACCTGAGCCTTCTTAACATAGATGGCTTCCTTCACGCCTCTCAGACCACCTGTCTTCTTTGTCCAAAATGTGAACATTCTGGTCCTCCAAAGAATGTCCTTTGTCCATAAGGTGTAGATGGACAGCAGAAACTTGTCCCGAAGCGGTCGCTCTTCTGTGTTGGGCCATGCGATCCTCAACATGAAGCTGAACAACACAGCTAACCCTAATCCAGAGGGTTAATCCTTGTTGCTGTAAACAGTCAGCAATCAAACTGATCTATCTGCTCTACATCTGTGCATTAGCTTCATTTGTCTAAAAGTTGTTTGAGACTCTAAAAGTACAATCCTTCAAGTAGCTGTCAGTTCCAACGCTACCCAGGTTATGACTTTGAGTGAGGCGTCACTTTAACGTGCTAATTAGCTCCCTTAGTCCAACAGGCATCCCTTCTCTCCTGACCCACCTGTGACTGTCCAGGTTGATCTAATTGGTTCACCGACCCATCTATTTACATGACTGGCATATCCTAAGGCAATGGCGTCTCCTTTAACACCAAGCCAATGCAAAGGATATGACATCTGAACCTGACAGATAGCAGAGCACAAGAAGATCCGATGTTGGTCCGTTTCAGGGGTTGCTTGCATGAGACTTTGTTCCTCATTGGCTCTCAAAAAAATCTTTTCCATTTAAATGATCAGTTGTGTTGTTTGTATGACTGATCCTTTGCAGTTTAATATGCCAAGAAACGAAAATGTGTTTAATGAAAGCTGCCCCTGAAATGTGGCAGGGAAAGATGCTAGCGTTTAATACCACAGTCCCTCTTGTGTTGGCCCTGGAGGCTGCATCCTGCATGTTAATTAGTCACAGCCCTCTCCTTTTTTTTTCTTTCCAATCCTCCCATCCTTTACCTGTTCCCTCTTCCTCAGTAGACTCCACCTCAGGGGAGGAGTGGTCAGCGTGGAGTGTGTGTTCTGCCACCTGTGGGGAGGGCTGGCAGAGTCGCACTCGTTTCTGTGTGTCCTCCTCCTACAGCACCCAATGTAGTGGGCCGCTGCGAGAGCAGAGACCTTGCAACAACTCAGCCATTTGTCCAGGTAAGCCCCTCCCCCATTTCCCTCACATTTACCTGCTCTTGTCTCCTTCTGGCCGTCAGCCCCTTTGTCTGCCCCTGCATCACTATTATAAGACCCTCCTTATGCCTCTCTCTAAGTAGAGAAGGGTCTAAAGGGTCGTCAGGCTCCTATGGAAGCAGACAGTAATGGCATTCAGTCTGCACGATCTCCAGAAGCATATGGGTCACCAGTTGCTGTGACACTTTGTAAAAGAGGGCCTGTGCATCTGTGTTCTAAATCACACCATAGCCGCTCTGATTGCAGTTCACGGCGCATGGGACGAGTGGTCACCGTGGAGTTTGTGTTCCTCCACCTGTGGCCGAGGTTACAGGTCCCGAACACGGACTTGCACTCCCCCCCAGTTTGGGGGAGATCCCTGCGACGGCCCGGAGAAACAGACCAAGTTCTGCAACATAGCCGTCTGCCCAGGTAAGATCGACCAATGTCACCATAATGTCTGTTTTCGCCATGAGAGGGTCAGAGGTTTCCATGTGCCATCTGCGATATCCACAATGTAGATAACAGCATATATCTAGATATATTAGATCCTTGTTTTCTCCACTTTAAATCATTTTGCATCTTCCAAATGTCTTGGTTGACCACAATCGGCGGCTTTAGTGGACGGAGTCTGGAACGAGTGGTCCAGCTGGAGCTCCTGCTCTGCTACATGCTCCAACGGGACCATGCAGAGAACGAGGGAGTGCAACGGCCCCTCGTATGGCGGCTCGGAGTGCAGGGGAGAGTGGCTGGAGACCTTTGACTGCTTCCTGGGGGATTGTCCAGGTAGGAACATTCCTAGTTCATCTGGGGCTTTTCTAATCTGATAATTTATAACTTGGTGAACATGTTTCTGTTGCTAATCTGTTAACAGTGATAGCAGGATAAACTTTCCCCGTTTCCCATTTAGCTTCACTACATTAGAAACTGACAGAGCTTCCTTAGTAGCAGTTTTTATTTTGTGGCTCTATTTTTAGACGTATTCTGCCTGAACTTTTCATTTTACCCCGACCATGGCTTCATAACCTCTAGATTAGACTTTTGCAACTTCTTAAACATTTGACTTGATAGTAGTTCAAACCCAAGTGCTGCTGCCAGAAGGCGGGACACCATCACCCCAGTTCAACTGATTGACACTGGCTGTCTGTGCATTTTCTTCCAGCCCTAGAAATCTTCTTCTAATATTTGTTGTTTATGAATCAAATTAAGGAACAGAGGTTTATAATTTT